GCAGCCGACACGCAGCTACAGAAGCCTGCAGAGACACGGCCGTCGCTTACCAGATACAAGACTCGGTACGAGTGCCCCGTTAGCTTTGCCACTTGAGTTAGCGAGGGGTATTTCCAGACGAGGATCTGGTTCTGCGAGTATCCGTGGGTACTCACCTGGAAGGGGAGAGGAAAATTCGCGTCACGCTTCCTGACAGCCGACGGCGCAGCGGCCGCACCGCACCGCGAGGAACTCACGAGCTCGTTGGCGTGTTTCGACCAGGCCAGGTTGCACACTTGCGACCCGGTGTCGATGCACTGCAGAGGCTGCCCGGTGAGCGTGTTCCAGAAGCGTATGCAGCGGTCGGCTGTCCCACCGCCGGAGGCGAGCAGTCCGTGCTGGTGCGGAGACCAGGCGATAGCTTTTACTGCTGCAAGATGCTCTGTGTACTGTTGGACAGGACTCAGGCTGCAGTGATTCCAGACAAGGAGCTGGCAGAGAGGAGAGACGTGATGGAACCTGCACTGCTGTCGCGTGTCTGCAACACCCACAAGCCACGACGCTGCGCTGGGACGGAGGAGGGCAGGTGGGCACCAAAGTGATTTCCCACAGCTCTGCCCCAGCACACGCATCCCCACCCTGCAGCCAGGCCCACCCTGACGCCGCCCCCCACGCCCTGCCCAGAGCCGTTCGGCTGCGGGGCCACAAGGCAGCGAACGGTCCTCAGGCTGACGGAGCCAAAGACAGAGCGTCACTGAACATGAACTCAAACCCTTCTCTTGCCCCGACAGCTGCATTACTCCAGAACACGTTTAGAAACGGGCTCGAGTTCCTCAGAAGTTATTCTGAGCAGGAGGAACTCCGCACAGCCACGCTGTCACACGGACACCGGGCACATTCACCACCTAGCAGCCTGCTCCCAGGGGCTCCCAGCACTGCTTCTCCACAACAGCTGCTGCTTCCGTACGGCGCTCAGCCAACTCCACGCCTGCGTTCCAGGTGTCAGAACCTCTATAGCTCTAAACTCCGTTTCCTTCTGCATACATAAACACCACTGCAACAAACCTGACCACAGGCTACCTAAACAAAATCAGGAAGCACAGCTTAGCAGCAGCTTTGTTGAACTCAAACCCCTGAGTCAAGCTATAGATTTAATTAGCCAAGTGCAGGAGCAAAATTAAATTTGCCTTTTTAATTTTATTAGGGAGAGGAGACCGAGTAGAAGCTTCGCATGATTTATGTTTGGA